GCAGTTGAGCAGCCAACCGCCGCCGTCGAACCGCCAACCACCGCCGTCGAGCCGTCAATCGCCGGCGCTGCCGTTGAGCCGCCAATCGCCACCGCCGCCGCCGTCGAGCTGCCGAAAAAGACTGGAGGGGGGATCGGGTTATATCAATCAGCACCCGAGGCTGCAGAGCTCATTCTCATCGAGAAAAAGTTACCTGCAACGACGAGTAATAGTGAGCGGCAGCAGCAGCAGCAGCAGCAGCAGCAGCAGCAGCAGTAGCAGCATCAGCAACAGCAGTCTTCTAATTTCATTTCAAGTCAAATTGCCCGAAGGAAAAGAAAATTAATAGAATTTTTTTTAGTTTTTGTTTTACTTTAAGTTAACTGAGTTTAAATATCATTTTCTCTACAGATGGATCTTGCACAGCTGAATAGTATAGCTTGTCATCAATTTAAACCCGCTATGAAGATACTTGAATTGGAGATAGAATCCAAGTATACGAGTATAATCGCCGAACTGAAACAAGTTGAAACATGATTTGGTGCAAAAGTCGTAGTTGAAGTGAACGATGAGTTCCAGCTGTTTCTACAAAACAAGATATCAACTGCATCAATCGTAAATGAAAAGCTGATGACCAATTGGCAGATTACGCCAATAAACTTAAATTATTTCTCACCTATAAGGATAATACCTGTATAAAATTTACAACTGTATAAATATGTATTAATGTATGTTTAAGAAAAAACAAAGACAAACAAAAATACACTTGTTTTAAAAATACACTTATTTTTCAAATCAAATGTGTGTTTGTGTTTATTTATTAATTTTTCAAACTACATAGTTTCCCTTTTTTTTCCTTTGTTTTTACAATTCGGTTCTATTTATCCAACTATTATGCGAATCATCAAATCCTAACCACTTTATCACAACTTGATTACAACACCTTTTAATAACTTTTTCTACTAGATAGATATCGGGTCACTTAGTTTTCTGAAGTTCTTGTTTGTAGAAGCCACCTAGGATAAGCTGATTTTGATAATCTTTCAAATGATAAGTAATTGGATTTGTTGGTGCCATGCGCACAATTGTTAATATTTCCGTTGACCTATTTGGTGTAAGTCCTTTTTCAAATATTTGCTTGGCTTTGCTCACTCTTACTTTGTCACCAACTTTGAACTTTGACTTTCTCTTTTTTCTTCTTCTTCTTCTTTCAACGTCTTGTACAAAATTTTTTAATACTTGAGCTTGATTCGCCGTTGTAACTTGGATATGTTTCACACCAATAGTTCTGTATTTGCCATTATTGCAAGTAGCTGTAGACGTGCGATTAAATCGTTCGCATATCAAAGCTTTGAGGGAACTATAGGTAGAGTATAGATTGATATTATATTTTTTCACGAGAGCTTTAAAATCTGCATTGTAGATTTCCTTGCCTCTAGCCGTATGGAGATTCTTTGGCAGTCTACCTTTCACTAAAATAGATTTCATGGCCGCTGTCACATCGCTACCGGTTTTTCTTTCCACTGGTACAGTCCACGAGAATTTGAAAAAATTATCAATTATCGTGAGAAGCCAATTGTAGCCGAAATTTTGTCTAGAGTAGGCCTGCATATCCACGAGATCGGCTTGCTATATCTCATCGATACCTCGAACGTCGTACTTTCGTCTTGGATAATTAGGTCTCGTTGGTTTGTGCAACTTCTTAACCACCACCGTTTCCATCTAATCAACTGTTTTCTAAATTTTGAACATTTGATTTTGTTCATGGTAATTCTTCTTTTATAATTACATCCAAATCCTCAAGATTACTCCTCAATCATGCTAACATGTCTCTCGTAGATTTGATGTCCATTTGAACGATCTTTTCCACAGTTTCGCAATTTATAGCGTCTTTAGCATGTTGCAGAGGAGCAAGATTTTCCAATCTTTTATTCTCTAGATCGTAATAGTACTCACTCGTGAGCTTGAACATAATACCGAATGGATTGCGAAAACTGTTGACTCCTTAATCTTTAAATTTATGCCCGCATATGTCGACGTTCATTTTGATAATGCTCAAACGATAGGTGTGGTTTCAGTATATATATATCCTACATTATATATATATATATATATATATATATATATACATTCTCTCGTAATTTTTCGATTATTGAATGAATTTCGTTGATGTGATTATTGTTACCAGCTGATTGTTCAGCCTCTAACAATCTGAGACTATGAACGTGCTCATTCGGATCATCCCAGTATACGTAATCCATATAAGTATTATTTCGTGCAATTCTGTAGATAGGCAAAGACTTACCAGTCTGTAGCCCTTTGCCTCCTTTTATCTTTTTAGTCAAACTGTACAACGGACCAATCATGTTATTGAATTTGTTACTATTGTGCGCTCGTATAGCTTCGTTTGGATTATTTTTCTTCCTATGAATACTAGATATTTCCAAGATTTCTTACTAATTCTTAAGATCATTCGAACTGATTAAACTTTGATTAGGTTGCTTTGCTACCAATAACTCCATTAAATTCCGTGTATTTGGATACTTGAAACCATCGACGTCTACGTTATTTTTGTCAAAAATCACCGTAGATTTACCAAGCGTGTATCATCCATTTCGTTCTTTACGTACTCCATAAATCAAGTCCACAAAATTCGAATTACTTTTATCTAATGCATTCGTGTACTTATCGCCAGCTAAATGCTTATCCTCGTTCAGCTCGGATAAACTGTTATAAATCTGTGTAGTATTATGCGTGATATTAGCATCGCTATCTTCGCCACTAGACGAAGCGGTGTCATACTTATCGACGTTATCAGCAGAATAATTGATTTCATATCTTAATTTTTTTTGTTTAGAAATTTCGGCTTTTTAACTGTAACAAGCGCTTCGGGAAGATTTTCCTTCGCACTTATTAAATTTTTGATTGAATCCACTTCGCTTATTATGGCTTTAATAGGATCGACTATTGGTTTAAATGTCTTATTCAAGACTTCGTCGGTATAATCTCGGCTATGCTTGAATAAACTATATATTTGTCTTATTGCGTCTTACGCTTTTACGAATTGAGAAAGGACATGTTTTTCCCGTTGATAATCAGCCATCTGAATTTATCAAAAAACACATATACAAACGGAGTAACAAATGTAAAAAAGGGAAGAATAATTCTAAAAAATTAATAAATCAAAAACTACCTACAGTCGCTGTTCTAAATAATTGCAACATCTTTGAAAAATATTCTTCTGTGTTAAAAAAACATGACATTACTCCAATCCCTTTATTACTAAAGCCATTACAAGAATTCATTTGTTTGGGAAAAGTCAAATCTGATTTATTAGACAACACTGGTATTGTCTACAGTTTTAACTGCAAGCAATGTTCAGCGGTATACATAGGTGAAAGTAAGTGATCCTTAAAAATTAGATTAAATGAACACAAAAAAAACATTGACTCAGATACAGTAGTAGCTACACATAGAAGACCTCTCTCACACAAATTTGACTGGGACAAAGCTAAGATATTGGATTATGAAAAGAATTATAAGAAACGCAGAATATCCGAAATGTTACACATCGGCTTACATAAAAACACTTTAAATGGAAAAGAGGATATACAATATCTTAGTTATATTTATAAGCCTTTATTAAGATTGATAAGGAAGGGATGATAGATGAAGAATATATATATATATGTGTGTTGAAATACTTGATTTTTTACTGTATCGTAACGTGACTGGCTACGAGCTATTCGTTTTAGCCTATAATAATTTAACTACGAGAGAAAAACCAATGGAAAAATACTTTCGGTTAATTTAAATCTTACACTGACAAATCGATAGTTCGTAACATACTGATCAAATGTCTCCATGGGTACCATATCCGGAAACTCGTTTTTTAGGGACAAATCAAGGGTGTTAGCTCCAAAAATACATACTCGTAGTATAGTCTTAGCCATTTTAAGACGACAATGATATGCTTTTATTGAATGCATGTACATTGATTTATATTTTGTGGACATTTGAAAGTCAATGCACATATAAATACTCACAACCTCTTTCTCTGATCCGTATATCTCTTTGTTTTACGCGAAAGTGATAGTGTACGGTGACCCATTCTCAACCGAATCCAGGATCAACGGCGTGGACGTGATGGGCGTCTGATCCCTGTGTGTGTGTGTGTGTGAGTTTATGTGTGTGTGGGTTAGTTCATGTGTAATTATCTACGTGTGTTAGTGTTTGTGTGTGTTATTCATTATGCGTGTTAGTGTGTCAGAAAATGCACAATGAAATATTGAAACTCGACTTGTTATTGAGAGACTAGCCCAGGAGTAATCGAGTTTGAATATTTCATTTCACTTTTTATATATTTCATTTCACTTTTTCACCACTAGATAGGAGCCTCACTCTCTCTAGAACTTTTTGTTTGCCATAATCCTTAAGTAGAACCGTTTCGTTATTTTTTTCAATATGTGTCTACGAAAGCGACTACTTGTTTCGTACTGACGATGGCCGGTCAGTAGTCGTAAGCCGATACACAATTCTATATTTTTAAAAAAACATTCCTTTTTTCTAAAAATACCAACTCTTGCCATTGTAATCTCAATATGCATGGTTATGAGGCTGCCACCACTGCAGTCCACCATTGCAGGATATTGCGGAGAAGAGTTCGTGGCTTGTAGAGAGATCGTTGTAATATTTCTTTTCTCAATTCTTAAAAATAATCTTAGTTTAGAATAAATCCAGGACAGTCTTCTTCAGACTTCCTTATTCATTGTTATTTGAACAACGTTTATTAATTATACACCCAGAAATAAATGCTTACGCTGTTGATTTACATGTCTTACAATGTATACTGAGATACAGTAGAATACAAAAAATACAAGTCTTCATCGTAGAGAATAATTAACTGTACAGTACTGATTTGATTTCTATGCAAAAGAATATAATTATTTCTGGTTGTTAAAATGGCTAATAGATTTCGGATTCCTTGCTATATTTGCCCTAACGCTTTACATGCTAGAGTAATGGTACGTTTGGCTAACGCTGAAGATGACCTTCTACGAGAAATCGCTTTTACAAGACGCTTTGAGAATAGAAGACCAGAAGCTCCTATTGATCTTGAAACTCGGATCTGTAACAATTGTAATATAACAATACGCCGTGAAATTCAAATGTTACAGGCTGATCCCAATTGCACTCGACTCAATGTTCTTTCTCATCGTACTAATAATGAATGTTTGGTGTGCCATAGACGTATTAACATTCACAGATTAAGTTTGCAATCCAGAGTTCATATTTTTGTAGAGCGAAACATTTATGTGCCAGCAAGATACTGTTGCTGTAATGAGCATTTGGATGAAAAGGGTTTATTACCACTCAATATTATTGAAGATTTCAGGTTCATTAATAGACCATACATTTTGAATGGTCCAGAATTACAATCATTTGTTCAAGCGATGCGTGAAGAAATTGTGCATAGCCCTGTACGCAGATATGAAGATGAACGCACTTTAACAGATGAACAATTTGCAGCTATTTCTCCTATTTCAAAAGATAACTTTAATGATCTTTTCACATACTCTGATCCTGTCATCGTTCCAGGTGGCCATCGTTATGTGTCTAAAAAAGACCTTCTATGTTTCCTGTGTAAGTTAAAACAGGGTCTTTCGGATGAATTTTTATGGGTAATGTTCCATTATTCTTCAAGGCAAGCTACGAGTTTAGCAATCAGTACAGTTCGACAATCGTTGATGACGAGATTTGTAGATGAGAACATAGGGTTTGGATCAATAACAAGGGAGGAATACATAGAAAGACATATAACACCATTTGCAAATCGTTTGTATAATGCCACACCTGAAGAACCGACGGCAATTGTGTACAATGATTGTACTTATCTAAATATTGAGAAGAGTTCTTGTTTTAAAGCCTTGCGTCAATCGTTTTGTGTTCATAAGAACAGACATTTATTAAAACCTGCCATGTTTGTAGCTCCAGATGGATATATACTTGATATTCAAGGACCTTATTTTTCGAATGCGGCTAACAATGATGCCAGAATCCTTTCAAAAGAGTTCCAAATGGATGTTGACGGAATGCAAAGATGGTTTAGAGCACAAGACATTTTCATACTGGATCGCGGATACCGAGACGCCATTCCTATTTTAACGGATATTGGCTTAGTTACATTGATGCCACCTTTACTTGATCGTAATCAAGCTCAGTTCTCAACAGAAGATGCCAACCAAGCTCGAATCATCACAAAAACTAGATGGATCGTGGAAGCCAGAAATGGCCATCTGAAAAGTTTATTTAAATTCTTTGCAAACGTTATTCCTACGTCTCATATTCCCAACTTGACTGATTTTCTGCGTATAGCCGGTGCTATAATAAATAAATATCATAGAATAATTATGATGCCTGATGCAAACGTAGAATTAGCTGAACAGATGTTAAATAAAGTTAACGAGCTCAATCTAGTGCAAGCTCGAGTAGAAGTTGAAGGTCTTCAACGAAGACGAGGTCGATGGGATAACCTAACTGCAATGCATGTGCCACTGTTTCCGAATTTGACTTTGGAATATTTACGAGGATTAACTTATGGAACTTATCAAGTTGGGCTGGCACCTTCATACGTTCAGGATTCTTCTTTAAGGGCTGAGTTGGAAAATGAAGAAGAAATCGGAGAAGACGAACAAACCTTTGAAATCGATCGGAATACCAATGAACCAGGTTTTATGAGAATAAGAATTTCCTCTAGATTCAGAAATGCTACGAAACATCAAGTATGGATAGCATTTAATGAGGAGTATAATCAAGAGCAAGATGTTGCAAATGAAGGAGAACCTATTTTTGGTTACTACTGTACATGCAAGGCTGGAGCAAGAACTCTTGGAACTTGCGCCCATGTAGCAACTATTCTTTGGTATTTGGGATACGCTCGACATGAAAATCAGGTGCACTATCCATCGCTCAGATTTTTGCGAAGCGTACAAGATGCACAGATGGATATTGATCAATTAATTGAAATAATAGATCCTCTCGGTTAATAGAGATTAGTAATGTGAAAGAAGAGAGAGGAAATAGGCTTTATGCTTATTGTTTCTATTTTTTTATTTTTTTTGTTTTATACACACACGTATATATACACAAACCCACACACATACACACACTGACTTACACATTTACATACATACACTCACACACACATACACACGCTGACTTACATTTAAATACATACATTCACACACAATCACACACACACACACACACGTACACACACACGCACACACACACACACACACAGGGATCAGACGCCCATCACGTCCACGCCGTTGATCCTGGATTCGGCTGAGAATGGGTCACCGTACACTATTACTTTCGCGTAAAACAAAGAGATATACGGATCAGAGAAAGAGGTTGTGAGTATTTATATGTGCATCGACTTTCAAATGTCCACAAAATATAAATCAATGTATATGCATTCAATAAAAGCATATCATTGTCGTCTTAAAATGGCTAAGACGTATACTATGTATTTTTGGAGCTAACACCCTTGATTTGTCCCTAAAAAACGAGTTTCCGGATATGGTACCCATGGAGACATTTGATCAGTATGTTACGAACTATCGATTTGTCAGTGTAAGATTTAAATTAACCGAAAGTATTTTTCCATTGGTTTTGTGCAGGGTTTTTTATTGTTAATAATTTGTTGTTTTTTTCTTAATAAAGCCTAAAGAGGTCAGCAAATGTGCTGACGAAACGTTGCTGAATATAATTAAAATTAATTGAATTTCCATATTTCACTATTTCCCTTCTTTCCTTTATTACAAAATTTATTATTTAAGATAATCAGCCATGTTTATGCTTCAACGATGTCTAGAGACTGTATACTGCATTACTATTGTGATATATTTATAACAAAATAATCAAAATCTTTTCGATATCTTCCACAGTTTATAGCTCTATCTTTGTCGATCACTCAAAATCCCATATTTATCATCCAACCAGCATTTTGCACAAAGTTCTTTAAATTGAATGTAAGTCATATCAGAATTCACATGATCGTCACATATATGTTTCATATTTGCTTCGTCTTATCAAAAAATTGCCAATAAATTGACGTTATCTCTCACGAGATGTTTAGGAATACGTGCGTATGTTTGCGAGAAATAGAAACATTCGACACTTCTATGTCTGCCTATACAAAAGAAAGCACGCACGTTGTCCTATTTCTCACAAGCGATGTCGTCGAATATCATAATTGAATTAGGCAGTGCATGCTCGGGATCGATCACGGAGTCATGCTCCTTGAACGGAAAATACTTTACTTCATCTATCGGCTTTAACATTTCTTCCAATAATTTATACTTTGGCTGATTGAGAGATTTCGAGTACACGTAAACATTTTCGAATATAACACCATTGGGATGAGCGATAAGAGCCAAAAGACTGTTTGTCTTACCACAGTTGAACGGACCACAAAAAATAACTCTGATGCTATTTGGAAGTAAATCTCTGTGACGCTTTGGTTGCTTATCCTCCTGCACGATGACGTCAAAATTGTATACGGGGGAAGTTTCACAGTTTATTCTTTATAATTCATGCTCACGAGACAAAGTTCGAACGATAGCTGGCCACATGGCCTATATATATATACGTGTTTTTATAGTTTCAAACGTTAGTCGTGTGTTGGACGTGATCGAGTGATAATTATATGCATACGTCAAAGAGCAAAGAAAGGACGAGGATTGGTTAATGATATCATCAATAAATTTCCATTTGAACTCCATATTCCAGGCTATCAATATTGCAGACTAGGAACTAAGTTACAGACACGTTTAGCTCGCGGCGATCCAGGAATCAATCCTCTCGACGCAGCTTGAAAGCAACACAAAATTTTAGCTGAAAAAACGTTCAAATAGAGTCTTCGCTAAGGATTCTAGTTTTGGTGAGAAAGCAGCTGCTTACGCTGTATCTAACGCCATGAAATAAAAATCAAAGTTTCGTATGGGTTTCAGGAGGACAAAAAGGACCAAACCGAAAGACGCAAGAAAACTATAAAGTTAGTTAATTTGAAAAACGTGATCAAAGCGGCCACATTAAAATGGTTCAAGGGTAAATGTGCGTGCAAATTCTTAACATCAATGCAATCTTAACATTGATTTCAGTAAAAGCCAGTACGCAATGTTGTATGATATGTATGCCAATTTTCAAAACGTATACTATGGTAAAGATGCCGAACCGATGATCAAAAAACTCAAATATAAAAATTACATGCCACTCGTAGTGATTGATTGTTCGAAAAAAACGAATCGTTAAAGACTGCTCCAGTAGATGTGCACTTGGAGTTCGAAACCAGAGAAAATATTCCCGAAGGAACTACAGTGTATTATTTTATTCTACACGATCGCATCGTTCAGTATAATCCGACAAATGGAGATATGAAGAAACTTATTTAGGAGGGAGGAGGAGTATTAAAGATATGACTCTTTCCTTAAGCAGCTGAGAAGTAACTTTCTATCGCAACGGATTACGTAGTGGATATGCAACGCTTCATGATGTATGACAAAACTTATGCCGTGAAAGAGTTAGCGATACTTCCACTTAACTACAACGAAGAATCACTCTTACGCTTGTTGAAACCTCCCTTCCCATGGCGATGACTAACGGAGAAATATAAGCGAGAAAATCTCTGGTTAGAACTCTACTATTATGGATTTACATGGAACTGTGGCGATTTTAAATACGAAAAGCATAAAATCATCATCACAGATACACTCAAAGATGCCACAAAAGTTTTCGTTTTCGGAGATTTGAAAAAAAGAGTGGTTAGAACGATATGGCCTCAAAGTTTTCGATTTTAATGATTGGGGCTATTCACCTTTCGAAAAATTAACATCAGTTACCACGTGTCCTAATCATAACGGTAAATACGTAACGATGTGTGCACATCAAAACGTTAAATTAATGAAAAAGTTTTACATCGATGATTGTTGTATGGATTGGGAAAAGAACGATCAAGTCGTTGAAGGATTTCTATAGTGATTTTGTTTTTTTAAGTGGATAATTTATAAAATGACATATATTTTTAAAGAACATGTAGAATAAGAAAAATTTTTTATTAATAAAAAATTTTTTTCAATTGATACAAAAAAAATATTCTTTTATTTCTTATTAAACCACCCAAAAAAAAAAAGTGAAATTCTTCGCTAATTCTGACGATGACAACAGCAGCAGCAGTTTATCTTTTTATAATAAATTTTGAATTTTTATCAACAAAAAAATATTTATACAACTAAAATTTAGATGAAAAAAAATGTTTATTTATTGTAGTTGAGGTGATGTATAATTATGACATGTGTACATACGAGGTGTGATCAAAAAGTAAGGTGAATTTTTATTTTTCTCAAAAAATATTTATTTATTCATCAATTTTTATTTTATCTCCTTCAAAGTAATCCCCCTCGGATATAATGCACTTGTGCCAACGCTTTTTCCGATCCTCAAAGCATTTCAAAAAATCATTTTTTGTGATCTTGTTTAGTTCATCCTTCGATGCCGTCTTTATCTCCTCAATCAAGGCAAAACGCCGTCCTTTCATGGGCCTCTTCAGTTTTGGGAACAAGAAGAAGTCACAGGGGGCCAGATCTGGGGAATACGGTGCCTGTGGCATCGTTACTGTGTTGGTTTTAGCCAAAAATTCGCGCACAAGCAACGATGTGTGAGCAGGAGCGCTATCATGGTGCAAAAGCCAATTTTTATTTTTCCACAAATTCGTACGTTTCTGGCGGATTGCTTCTCGCAAATTGCGCATAACTTGCAGGTAATATTCCTTATTTACTGTTCTACCCTGTGGCAAGAACTCATGATGCACCACGCCCCTGCAGTCAAAGAAAACTGTAAGCAAAACCTTTACATTTGATCGAACTTGGCGTGCTTTTTTTGGTCTTGGTGATCCAGAATGCCTCCACTAGGACGATTGAGTCTTAGTCTCGACGTCATAACCGTATACCCATGTTTCGTCACCTATTATAACCCTGTTGAGTAAATCTGAATCATCGTTGACGTAATTCAGTAGCTCTTGGGCGATGCTCATGCGACGGTTCTTTTGGTCAAAATTTAGCAGTTTCGGAACAAACTTCGCTGACACACGTCTCATGCCCAAAACGTTAGAAAAAATTTCATGGTACGAGCCAAGCGATATACCAATATCCTTAGCAACTTCTCTGATAGTGATTCGACGATTTTCCAGAACAATTTTCTTCACTGCTTGAACGTTTTCATCAGTCGTTGACGTGCTTGGGTGTCCAGAGAGAGGCTCGTCATTGGCATCTTCCTGGCCATCTTAGAAGAGTTTGTACCACTTGTAAACATTTTTTCTACTCAAAACAGTTTCACCGTATGCCACCGTCAACATTTCAAGTGTTTCGGAGCACTTTATTTTATTTTTTACACAAAATTTGATGCAAATCCTTTGATCCATATTTTTCGATAGCAAGAAATCGCTGAGCACGCAAAACACTTATAACCTTTACGTATCTCACAACCAAACAAAAAATGAAACTTGGTACAGATGTTCGGGTAGAGTGTACCAACATAACAAAACAAAAAAATCGATAATCGAAAGTACGTTGCCCGTGAAATTTGAAAAGTCACCTTACTTTTTGAACACACCTCGTATAACTATTAGCGGCACTTTATCAATGAAATCTTTTTTATTGAGTAACGACTCGTTTTCTTTACCATCGTAAGCGTTTTGAAAATTAGTATATATATCGTAGAGAACAGCATACTAATTTTGATTGATATTCAAATTGAGATTTCCATACGGATAGAATTGTGAATTAAGGAATAGCTTCACATTACTAATATTACAATGATCAAAATTACTAGAAATAACACTCGCTGGATTTTTATGTTTAGTTTGAAAAGCTAAAATAACAAAGCGAGGATTTTCCAATTGATTGGAAGTCTTAACACTCCAAACATGCTTTGATGTACGTGGTAATTTTGGATACTCATACATTTCCCAAGTACGATAATTTAT